GACCTCACTTCTCAAATGACAGTACCATCTCCAGCAGTTGGAGACCTAAGCAGGAGATACCAAGATGTGCAGTAAGATAGTGTAGGCTGGCAGCCTTGTGCCTAATGTGCATGTGAAACATCAATTTATTAAGCAGGCCCAAACACTGAAAACTAGACAAATCTGTAAAGGGACCTTTTAAATATGCAATTGCTCTCTTGTGTTGATTTTCTCCATTCAAGAACCCTATAGTGTGGGGATTTTTTCCTTCTGCTTTAACTGCATGGGGAAGCTATAGAGAACAACTGTTAGGATCACCAGTTTATTACAGCAAAATGAGGGGCAGTTTGTAAACTGGTAAGGTAAGTGGCAGGCTTGGAGTTACTGCAGAGTAAGAGATAAATGAATAATCTGTTTGCTGATTGAATGTTCTTTATTAAGGAGCCATGAGCAAGCTTTCTATCTGGGTAGCCTTGATAGTTCATCCATGTTTTTGAGATGCCATATTGCTCCTGTTATTTGCCATAATGTTAAAATTTGTCAAGCAGAAGGCCATCAGTCCAGAGAAGTACCTTTTCTTTGCACTGTGACATTTTCAAGATTTAACTAAGTTGGGGATTGCTGCAGTACCTGCTGGACCTGTGCCTTTTCTGCAAAGTTGGTAGTGTATCAGACCAACTGGATTTCAACAGTGCCAGTATACACTGTGTAGCATGAACTGGAACGAGAGCCTAAAGGAGCTGTCAGGGCAGCACTGGTATGTGTTGAAAGCATAGTCATGCTGGATTGTTTGCAAGTTGCAGGACCTTGCCTGTAGACCTGCTGTGTAGTCCCTGCAGTTTCTAGGTGAAGAGATAGAGGGACGGAGGATGAGTGGAGGCTTTTTATAACCATCCTAAACAGAGCAGCTTCTCCTGTTTCTCTCTGGAAGTACCATCTGCAAGCTCCTTGGGAGAGGGTGGACTTGACTGGGCTCTCCTGGGAGTTTGTATTAGTCTAGGATTCCTCTAAAGGCTTTCTTTCAGGTAGTGTGTTTTGTCCTGTAGTCCAAATCTGCAGTACCAAAAAGGTTAAGATTTGACCAATGATCACGATGCATTTGTGGAGAGGTTATGGTTGTGCACAAGATTATTTTTCTCTTTTTTGGCCTGTCTGAACTTCTCTACAGAAAGTATGAGCTATATTTATGAATAATTTAGTTGCATGATTACATGCTCTTTTTTTCCCCAAACAGCATTCTGCTTAATTTCAGCATACAGGATGATACCACAAGGGGATAGAATTATGGCTGCATGAGCAAGTTCAAATCTGCTGTTTCCTAATTTCTGAATGCCTGATTTTTTTTCCAATATAAATACTTTTCCTGTGATATAATTTTTTTTCCTTTTAATGTGATGTATTTAAAAACTGTACTGTGGATCCTTCCATAAAAAAGATGCATAATTTAACATCCCCTTTTCCATGAAATAAAAAGCTCAAATCTCTTGTACCTCTTTCCTTTTTCTGGTTACTTCATGGGAATGTTGAAGATATGAATAGAATGGGGAATCTGCATTGTTAAAATATGTATCAAATGTATTTGTCTTGTTAAGGAAGTTAATTTGCTATTTGTTTTCTGTGTGGCACTTCTGCATTCATAATCTTTTGACAAATCAATTATTTTTTAAAATAAAGGAAGTACTCTTTATACAGTCATATAAAGAAATACTTTATCAGACTCTTGTCTTAAAAGTGGAATTAGGGAGGGTCAGTTTAATCAAAAGACATTTTAATTTTTTTATCACAATTAACCTGTTCCCCCATTAGGGGGAAAAAAAGATAAAACAACTTTGTTCAGTCTGAAGCAAGGCAAAGAAACCTCTCCTGCACAAGGTTTTCAGGGTTTCCCCTTCAGAAGTACAGGTTGCTGGATTTCTGAAGAAAAGCTTTTACATACATGACCAATAACACTCTAAATGCAGATGTGTGGAGCTGGTTAAAATTCTCACAGAAGTTAAAACAAAAATGGTTGTCAGAATTACAAGGTGGTTATCCCAGGAAGCCTAGTTTCAGTTCTCGGGGGAAATGTGACTTGAACCAGTTGAGATGAGTGATCACTTCATGGTCATGCTGATCCTCAGTGTGGTATCAGTGGTGTTAATCACAAAAGAAATTTGTCTCGTCTAATTCACAAGAACTAAATGTAGCTACCCCTAAATCACACTTCCCCTTTCTCTTTGAAAGCTTCTGGAGTAATGTCTGGTTAGGTGTTTTTCCCCCCTCCTAGTGCAAATTATTCCCTCTTTCTCTGTTTTTCTGGATAGCTCCATGACCTCCTTAGGAGTGCCCAGTAGGAACTGTAATAGCCATCATTTGCATTGGAGCTTTAGACTGCATAAAAATTTTAATTTATAGATTGATATAAGACCAACTTTTTTTGCATGAAGGAAACAATTCCTTTATGTACTAAATTCAGAATAAAAAGCTCCAGTGTAAGACAGGAGAAAACAACCTAAATGGAAGCCCTTTTCCATTTTGCACCTCTTCCTGTTGCCAGTGAGCAGGGCTCAAGACTGGCTTTGATTTGAATATTTCTGATCTTAAGTATTTCTCTACCATGCTGTTTGTTTCTGTGGCTGTGCCCACAGTGCACTGTCCTACCCTCTCAGTTTTGCTGACATTACTATTTCTGGAGCTGTACTGTGGCCTGTATCAGGGAAGCCATCCTGCTTTTTTATTTTTCTTAACACTTTTAAGTTGGTTTTTTTTGTTGATTGGAATTCCAAATCAGTTTCCCGATCCAGTTCACTGTAATGGCCTGTGTGCAGGTGCATGGCTCTGGCATGGTCAGAGGAAGGATCAGAAACTGGGTAAGAATGCTGTTAGCTGCAATGCAGGTTTTAGGCACTGTTTCCTCAAGTGTGGCCTGTTGCATTTACTCTGAATGCAAACTGTTAGCCTCTCCATGTGTCTAAGCTGCTGTTGGAGGGGGCTATGTGGAAGAAGTCAGAACATGTCAGAGCTTGGTCTTGTTGATACTTGTAAGAACGTGAACTCCCATGTTTCAGTCAGTGTCTGTATTTTGTAAAGAAGTCTACAGCTTCATGATAATACTCCTCAGAACGTGAGCAAGTCCAGTTAACACCTTCCAACTATGTGGTCTTGACTTCAGCTCAACTAAACAGGGTACAAGTTAGTAGAGACTTTGGTGCAAAGGGCTTATATTAAACCACCTTCCTACACCCCACCCACTGTAGTGGGGCCACTACATTGTGGCATGTATTTTGTAAGACTGTTTAAACTGATGCTAAAAGTCAGTTTTCATGCACAGGTGGAGTACAGCTGCTTTTTTAAGGTTGCTCTTGGAGGTTTTTTATTTTAGCTTAGAGTGTATGTACACACGTGCTAAACTTTAACATATGTTTTCCAAACTCTGTTCTGTGTTTTGTGGTGTTCAGGCTGGACTTTATCTCCTTATTAGCAAGCTACAGTGAAGGTGTGGTGACTGACAATGGAAGGTTGATGTAAACGTTAACAAATTAACTCAGACAGGATGTGTGCTGGGCAAGGCAGCCGGATGAACCTTTGCTCAACTCTAGCGCATGACCCCACTTCCCAACCTGTGTGGTTCTGAGCCTAACCCATGAACTGTGAAGTAGTTGCCAGTGTCCCCACAAAGGAGGGGATGAAAGAAATAATAATCAAACAAAGGGTACCTTGAAAAAGCTTTAAGGAACTCTGGCCTGTGTAATACCTGTGCAAAGAACAGAGGAAAACTGAGGGACTTGGAATGCCAATACAGCACCTTTTAAGCACTTTGGAGGTCTTGCCTCAGGAAGAGCTCAGTGCAAGTGAGCAACTGGGTGCCACTTCCTTTACCTACTGCAGAAGGGTGAAGAGCTGAGTCAGCTTTGCTGAGATTTGAACTGTGATCCCACACATTTAAAGCTGGGCTAGTAGTCCACAAACTTGACTTTAGACAGAAAACTATGCAGAAATATGCTTCCCATCAGATTACACTGTCCTCAGTACATATGAGACAGTACAGCAATCAGTCCAGTGAATGTTCCTGGGTTTTATACCACTTCAGAGCTTGCACTAGAAACTTTTTGGGACAATTCTTTCCTTTCTGTCATATCTCCTTTATAAACTAAGTCTAAGTTGGAAAACTCTGTTCCTTCTACAACCATCTCACCTTGAAAACACACCACAGAACAAATAGAATTGCTGAACTCTCACAAAATGGGCATTGCTCATACTCACATGGCAACTCAGCATGCACCGTGTGCTGTTTCATCTCAGTTCCAAGAAGTGGAAAAAAAAAAAAACAAAACCCACTGGAGCTGTTAACTAATTGCCTCAGATGAGACTGAGTGATGAGGATTTTTTTGTCTACTGAACACTGACTGGAATAGGTGTGGAAGGGTCTGTATGGAAAAATTTCCACTCTGGTGGTAGATGGAATACTCAAACGTTGACCTCTGCCCCCTCCCTGTCTCTGTTGGTAGGCAGGAGAGCCACATGATTGCTCTTTGCCTATGCTATATCCTATAGGAGTACAAGTGAGAGAAGTGCAGAAGAATAAAATCTCCCTGCTATTACCTTGTTGCTTTTAAACACCACTCAGTTGCACAGAAATTTCCTGTGGAAGTTGGGAGTGGTTTATGCTGCTGTAAAAGTTGTGGGTTTTTAAAGAAGTTTTAACAGGTAGATAAGGTGGAGTGGATGGAAATAATAAGTTTTTGCAAAATATTAGTATACGTTAAGACATTTGTGTTTCTTGCATAAAGCATAGAAAGAAGCATCAATCACAGCCATCCCGTTAGGATATAGATATACACAACCTATTAATGTCCATTTTGAAGGTTTCAGTTGAGCTGCCCTCCTATCTTACATGTTAACTACTTGTCTTTTTAATTAAGTAAATCAGCTAATACATCAGGCATCTGCACCAGAAATTACTCACTTTTTGCCACTTTTTCTCTCCGGAAGGCTCCACTGAGTCCTTTGGAGACTTGACTCCCTCTATCTCCTTTCAGGTCTCTTTCCACATTACTCGTCTCACCTTTGTGAGCGCCTTATATCGAGGTAACGATCCTCTCAGCTAAGGCGAGTTGGACTCTGCTCCCTGTGGAGCCATCAGAGCTGTCAGAAGAGCTTTCTGCCCCACTGCAAGTTGCTCCTTCAGTCCTGGTGGTGAGCAAACTGTCTGTAGAACTGCCAACTCCAGTAGGAGAGAGCAGGTTTGACTTATTGGTGTTGCCAGTGGTCAGATCTGGTTGAGTTGTAAAACATAGTTCTGTGTGAATGTAAGCATATTTCCAGCTTAAAAAAAAGTCTGATTTTGTATTCTGAAGTGGCAAATATTTCACGTTCGTGTCCTATGTGAAAGAATTGCAGTGTTGCTGGCCCCACTGTTATGACTTAAGTTCTCTCGGAATCTGGAGATCACTTTAAAAAAATAAGGATCTTTTAAAAATCTAGCTACACAGTTTTTGTAATTGTTTTGTTTTCTAAGCCCCCTTTGGGAGGGAGGTTGTGAGTGTTAGCACTGTGCTGTCTCCAAAATAAATGGTGATTTTTATTTTTTTTTTTACTACGTTAAATTCCCATATCTACATCTGTCTGCCTGTTCTCTGAGGCCAGTTTCTGTCAGTTTTATTCCTGTTTTCTAAATCAGTTGTATCTCCATCTACCTTATATTCTCCAGGCCTGCAGATGCAGTTATAGCAGGATTCTCAGTTTCCTCAGTCTCACAAGACAGGTGACACAGTACTTCATGCCTTCACCATTTTCTCAGGCTAAGTGCCTAATTTGTTAAAAATTGTTTTTTTGAAAAATGTTGTAAAATGTCAACCCCAAATGAGATTTTAGAGCATTAATTTTGCAAAACAAGGCTTATATTTTAGCTTTGTTGTGCTGGTAGGTGTAACAATTGCTATCGTAAAGGTGTTGTAGGTACAGATTCACAAAATCCCTTCAGGGTGTGATTTAAACATGAGTAATATTAGGCAAATATTTTAGTATTTTCCTGCCTTGGGGATAGAATAAATAATTCAAGGGCTACGAAGGCCAGGGAAGAGACTCCCCCTGATATCAAATGGATGTTGAATCGTCTCTGCTGTATTAGGAAAAGTTTATCTGAAAAAAGTTTGTTTCTTATGCTGACTTTAGAAGTATTACAAGGTTATAGATAAATGGAGTGTGTATTTTTCTAAATTATGTGTATTTTTCTGTTTTAAAATCGGTCTTGTTTCTTTTCTTCATATGAATAATTAAATTGCTTTTGGCTGACTTACCTACCTGAGAAGGGTGATCACAGTGTAGACCCTTTCTTTTTGCATACCCAGGCACATTATCTGAAAAATCTGAGAATGTATTGACTACGTTTTACGTTATTATAAGGTTACAAGACATGAAATAAAGCCTTGGAAATGGCTCTACAGAAGATGTAAGTTCAATTTTACTATTTGGTATCAAGTGGTCATTAAGAGTCATACTGTTGCTACATTGTCTCTGCTGCAGATACTTGACTGATACTAACAATTCAGCCTGTAAGTGACTTCAGGTTAAAGTTTAGTATTAAGAACCATTTTTCATTATCATTAAATTTTTTTTGTGTTACTGTCAGCAATATTCTAATTTGCCAATGACTATTTCTGTTTAATTAAAATAAGAGTATGTTTTTATGTTACTTTAAAATATTACTTAGCATATAATCTTGACAGTAGCTTTACAAAATCTCTCATGATATCTTTTTCTAAGAATTTTTGTTTCTTGGTATTCTCCAGTTTATGTTTTTCCAGCTATCAAAACCTGTGTATCAGTAGGCTTCATTCTCAAGTTTCATTCATTTTTTTCTCTTCCATTTTGGTTGCCATGCATTGCTCCAGGATACAATACAAATGGAGACTTTGCCACAAGCAAATGTGGCACCTTTTCGAAATGTGTTAGTGGCTTTTGTTGGTCAAAATGTCATCTTGATAACAACCCATCTAGAATGTTTGACAACATGAATTAACTCTTGGAAGAGACTTTCTGAAGTAGTAAAGGGAGTCAGGAACACAGTTTGAATTCGAAAATGGGAGAACAAAACCCCAAGCTTTGACAAAGCTAATGCCCGTTTCTATAAAGTATATTAAATTATAAAAAGAAAAGATAAAAAAATCAGTTGGCTTCTAACAGAATTTGTGCTCCTGAAGCAGTGAGCTTTCTTTGAAAATCTGCTCCCATCTCTGATCTTGGTTATCTTTCTCAACAATCTAATAGTTTAAAGCAAGACCTGTGTTCTTGTGGAAGTACATATGTGAGCAGGTGTCCCTGTGTAAAAGTAAGTCCACTGTAACTACAGCTTCCATAATATGGAGGAATTAACATGGAATAAAACCAGGTTCATTTTCAAGAGAATCATGGGGGAGATAAAATTATTAGGCAAATTTGCAACATGACAACAAATATCAGTGCAGCCCTTTGGAGTTCTTTTGACTGTGTTTCAGATAATGTTGTATTGCTTCTCACAGAGACCTAATCTTGGAAGGCTAGAACTTCTGTGCAGAGCAGCTGGAATTAGTTAAATACTGGAACCACTGCTGATTTGGTTGCGTCCTCCAACATGACCAATCCTCAGTAAGTACCGTGTGAGGATAGTTATAACTTACTTTAAACAGAAGGAAACAGGTTGCTACCTGTAGGAGAATGATGTGACATCAAGAGGGTTCTATCAGTATTACTGGAAGGAAAAGCTGATATTTTGAGAAGGAGTAGTAAGATTTGGTCAGTTGTTTAAATAGTGTGAGTTAGCAGAAAAACCATGAATGCTGTAATCATGTTTGATGTGGTATTAATGGCTAGTGGCTAAGAACTTGTATGTCATTATTTTCAGAGCCTTTTTTCCTGCCAGCAAACCTGTCCTAAAGCTGTTTGCCAACACTAGTTTGTTGGTTTGTTTGCTTCTTTATTCAGTCAAATCAAACAACATCTGTCATTTAGGCTTAGAGTACAGAAGGTAAATATTATTGGGAGAGGGAAGGCTGCACCAATCCAGTTTGCTGTTTCCTTTGTAATACTGGGAATTGGAGCATTGTATGCTCTTCCATGCAAAACTGAACCAGCTTGGACTTGTTAAGGTAAATGTCCATAGGATGGCACTAATGGTGAAAGTCAATGAAAGAAAATTCTTGCTAAAATTAGCTCCTCCCTCTGGGCTTCTGATTTCAGATTGTTTACAGAGAAATACAGTTCTGTTGGAAATGAAAAAATCTCATTACTTTCCGTTCTTAGTTAGACAAAGAATAAAATTAAATAAGCCTTTAGGTTGCTCAAATAGTACTTCCTTTTACCTGTACTTTCTGCCATAGGATGACAAGTTGCAGCCTTTCTCTGCCAAATGCTTGACATAAACCATCATTTTCTGTTTTTTAAAATTACTTTCTTGTGTAATGCTGGCAGCTGTTAGCTCCTCTTTAATTTAGGAATAATGTTTTCCATCTGAGAGAGTTAGTCTAATGGTGAGGCTCTGACCAATAGGATCTTGTTCTATCTCTTTCACATAGAATTTTAGTTCCTTCACCTACATCCTATGTCCTTAGACTTAAAAGATATGTGAGTTAAGAACTCTTCTAATTTTTTTTTTCTGGAAAAAACCAAACTGTTATTGAGGTTGCTTGAATAGCTAGAAGATTTTAATAATCTTTAAAACAAAATCACCAATGCAACTTTTGCAGTCAAATGACAGGGGTAAGTTGGGTGCTAAGCTCTTTCTAACTGTGTCCCTAAGGAAAAAGAATATCTTCACATCTGCTGTTGAAAACCTCTACAAGTAGCCTAAGATTTCTTCAGAAGTTGGCAAGCTCCCCTTGATGAAAGCTAAAGAAGTTTATGCTTGCATCTGCTCTGAATCAAATGGAGCAAGCAGCTTTCACTGGGTACTACGAAGGATCAATACCTGCTGGGGCTTGACGTGCAAGCTCTCTTCTACAATGAAGTCATCCTTTGCATATACTAGATAATACACTAACTGACAAAACTTGAGTTTCTAGATAAGTAGTATGTTGTTATAAATGTGGAAGACACATACATAGTCAGACTCTGGTTTTATGTGCATGGAGTTCCCATTAATGTTAGTGGGGTGGTAGAAGTATGCATGTTCAGATTTAGAAGCTGTACTAAGGATAGGTTAGATAATCTTTATAGAGGAGTCCATAATTCTTCTGAATCATTGTTCTCCTTTCAGAATTATTTTGAAATAACTTGTAACAGAATGTTCCTTTCTAGTTGAATGAAACAAAGTTGCTGTCCATCAAAACTATCTGAATATTGACCCACAGTGGAAGAGGGGTCAAACTGCATCCATTAATTAACAGTTGATTTGTATATAACGATTAATAAGTTTAGCTATTCATTGCTCACTGTTCTAAGTTACAAAGCAGTGAGTTTTTAGTTGGCATAGTTACATGCCTCCTTTCTGTTTTGCACAAATATTTTGCTTTTGGGTTCATGCATTGTTTCCATATTTGCTTGTTTATAATGCATCAATTTATATTTAGTGCTTTTGAAGCAGATTCAGCGGAGTGAAATGCTGTTCTCCTTTGTGAGGTTTCTGTTGATTGCAGTGGGATCTATGAAAGAAGTTTGCAGACATTTGGTCTGTCCCCTCAGTAAAGACACTTCCTTCAATGACCTTGCAAAGGTCTTTTAAGTTGCTGGCTTTTTATGATTCTCTGAAGTTCTTGTCTCTATTTTTTACTTGCTTGCTTATTTATTTATTTCTATTTATATGTGTATGTAGAGAGAGAGTGTTTTTTATTTTTCTTATCACATTTTCAGGCCTACAATAGAAGGTGGTGTTTCAGAAGTTGAGATAATTTCACAACAAGTGGAAGAAGAGACCAAAAGCATTGCTCCTGTACAGCTTGTTAATTTTGCTTATCGAGATCTACCTTTAGCTGCACTTGATCTGTCTGTGGCTGGGTCCCAGCTTTTGTCAAATTTGGATGAGGAGTACCAAAGAGAAGGGTAAGTAAAAAGGACATAATTTTGTTTTATAGTTTTAGATTATAGGAATTTCATGGCTTGTAAAAAAGAAAACCTTGAGCTGGAGAAGCGCGACCAGTTGTCCTCAAACTCTTTTAAAAACCATTGTCACAGGATGGAAATGATCTCTTCTAATACAACTAATCTGTGGGGGTTTGGGGCTCTTTGTAACTTTAAGCTTCTATTTAACCACAGTCTGGAAGTCTTCTGTTAGGCTAGACCAATCAGACAAGTAAAATGGCCTGGTGAAAGCTCTTTTTGAAAGGTGTTTCAGGATGACAGAGTTCACTACTGTGGTTCTTGTACATCTCCTGACAGACATAATGACTTTGTACTGCTGATTCTTGGACAGATAGTGTGCTTTTCACAGAATAACTTGAATTGCATAGTTTACTTATGTGAGAGCTTTGTTTTTGATAATGTATACATGTATTGCTCCTGTTTTCATAGAACAACGGTTCCAGTTTTATTGGAAAAAAGATTTTAATCAGTTCATAATATTTGCCCAAACGTGACCCAATTTCAGATTAGGTAGCATTATTGTCCTACAGGACATTAGAAGTTGTTCTTATGCCTGGTTCAGGCTTGGAGTGGCTGTAGGTGGACTGCTATACTAAATTTTTTATGAAAGATTTGGGTCAACTGGAGAGAATCCAGAGGAAGGCAGTGAGAATGATTATAGGCTCAGAAAACCTGCCATGGACTACTGATTGAAATAACTGTGTTTCACGTGAAGGAGAGACTTTCAGGGGAGCTTATAAGAGAATTCAGTGAGTAAGAGAACAGTCTGTTATTGATCTCCGTGATGTTTAGAACAAGAAGTAAAAAGCTGGAATTGCAGCAAGGACAGGAATAATGAGGGTAGCGAAGTGCTGGGGTAGACTACTGGTGTGTATGGGAGGAGAGGAATAGAGTTGCAATTGCTAGATATATTTAAGACTATACATTTGTCAGGAATGATAACACTACAGTTTAACATCCCTCGGGACAGAGATTAGGTGAGCACTTCTGCCTAGCCCCTCGGATTCTGTGATTACTGTTCCCTTCTGTGTTGCACTGAATGTATGTATACTCTGTCAATATCCATCTAAAAGCACTTCACAGTAAGTCATATAGAGCTCTCATTGATGAAGACATTAAAAGGCTTTATATAAGCATTTATTAACAGCTCAGTGTGTTTTAACCTGTGCTCTGAAATCAGCAGAGAGACCTGCTTGATCTCAGCTCAGCAGGTATTCTGTATGGTAGTCAGAAAACAGTATGTGGGGAAGGCTCTTGCCTTTAATTTCTTTCCAAATTGGACTTTATGAGATGTCTCCAGAAAGTTGTTACTCCAAACAAGGGGAAATACATTTCAAGTAGGTTATATAAGTATGGTACAACTGTAACATAAAATACCCTGCGTAGCAAAAGAGGCACTTGAAAATTAATTTGAGTATGCAGGTGTAACCCTCAGGCTATTTTGGTGCTGAGTAAATACCAGTTTAGTTCAGATATGCATTTTTATATATTTTTATGATCTGAAACTCAATTCTTCACTGTGCCAAAGTGCACAGATCTCTCATTGTAACTATTTGAGCAGCTCTGCAGTCTTAAGCATGGAAATAGACTTGTTATTCTTTTCCTCAGCAGAGATCTCTTCCTTCACACAGGCTTCTTTTGTAGCTTTATCGGTCTAAACAGAAATAAGGTGCCATCCAAACCTCCTAGCTCTAGAGAGGATTCTCTGAAGAAAATTCATAGCTTTAGTTTGTATCCCTTAGTACATTTTGGCCAAGTATGTTCAGCTGAGTCCCAGGACTGCATCTGCCTTGTGGGAACGGTGGCTTCTTCCTTTCAGAAGCACTGATTGCAAGTGATGCCTTGTGAAATTTAGCAGCAGAGCTGAGCTCAAGAAGCCTAGCAGCAAAAGTAAAATACTGTCCCCATACCACCTCATGACTTGATTGGGAATATGTCTGGTTTTGTGAATGTGGTACAATTTCTTTTTCATGGCCTTGTTAGATGTGACTGTCTTCCGCCTGAGTAAGAAGGAGATAGAGTGGGTCAGAACAGTTTGGTACAGAAACTGTCAGCTACATCTCCCTTGTATATAAAGAGGGATATGGGAAGGGCAGTACAGGAGGTGGCAGAAAACGTCTTAAGTCTCTGTAGTTTCTGCCAGCATCCATATTTATAACTGTGAAGCTGTTACCCCAATGCTGCTGCACAGGTTGCAGGTGGAGATACCAGAAGATACTGCTAATGCCAGAAAGTACTAAAAGGTGGTGTAGGACTAATCTTCCTCTCCCTGGCAGTCTGCCTTTGTCACAGACTCCAAGTGTTACCTTCTGTATAGTTTTCCCCGAGAATTCCAGGGAAGGTGCCAACCTGTATGACCTGCACATGTTCTGTATGGCTCTGTTGTTCTAGATCTGTAGCTGAACTTGGCAAGTTGTAGTTGTTCTAACTGCAGGGCTCTGCTGCAGGAAGGTCTGGCACATCCCTGTGCTTGGAAAATGCTGGGTGGTTGTTACAAGCTGCCATCTGTCCATGACCTTGTGATTTTCAACATAATTGTCCACAATCCCTGGTTCCTGATGTGAATTGTCACTAGTAAGTCTCCATCTCCACAAAGCACAAAGCAACAAGAGACACAGGAGACTAGAGATGAATGAGTGGGCGATAAAGGGGCCTTATGATTTAAGGGTTTGGTTGCGTGCACCCCAAGACTTTCCTCTAACTTTCCTTCTTTAAGGCCAGCAGGTGTTCAGGGTCCAAGCACAAATGCAAATTTAACCTGCTTGGTAACTAGGGGACCTTTTTGTTTTGTCTGACTGTTTCTCAATAAACCCAATATTAATAGGTAACCAGGAATTGGTGCATCATAAGTCATCCCTCTCTGTGTGCCTGGAAACTTAGATAGCATCAGACTACCTACCCCTCCCATGAGAAATGAAAAAAAAAAATTAAAAAGAGCAGCATTAATAAAGGAGAATTATAGTCTGTCTTTTGTTAGACCATATGAGAATTGAGTCCCATAGCTTTAAAGATACTGGAATAAAAATCTTATATTGTGCAGTTTGAGTCTTTGCTCTATCATATCAAATGCTCAGGGCAGTCAGTTCCTGTTGTCAGTGTTGTTGAAGGAAGTTTGTGGACAGTTGTGATTTGAGCTGGTTTTGTCAGAAATTTAGTTTACAGTGCTGATCCATGTGCTAAGCAAGAAAGAAAGGACTGCATATTAGACAGCATATTAAGCCTGTCCCTGAAGTACACCTGTAAGTAGTGAAAGGGTAATCAGTCAAGAAAAACTGTTCCACTCTGCCAGAAACCCTCACATAAAACACAGAATGTGTTGACTTCTAATGTGGGTTAAGAAAAAATTCTTTTGCTTCTGTAGACTTCTCAAACAGGGAAAGTACAAAGAATTTACATGATGGAAGTTGGTTAACTTGGATGGACTCTGCATTGTAAATATTCTCACTCATTATAAATCATGTGGGTAGGCTGGCATTGCCATCTTTGCACAGAAGAGTAAGGTTCCCGTGGTCTCCACATGTGGGGTAGGAGTGATTCCTGCTTCCTAGCTGCAGTGAGGCTGATGTGCCTCGTGTTAATAGAGCTATGGGTCATACCATTCAGAAAAATGGAATTTTGTGATAAATGCCAATAATGCGTAACTAAAACATTTAGAGTTTTATGTGACTATAGCAATCTCTATTTATAAAGCTATATCTCTTCCACCCTGTGTGGCTTGGTTCTCAGAACCAATAGTAGTGTGGTGTTTATTTTGTTAGTTATTAGTCTCACTGATGTGCCCTGCAGTTAACTTGTTAGAACCATCCTTAGATAACACTGTGGTGCTCTGCACTCTGTGCTTCAACATTGCAGAAACAATTGAGGCATAGGCTGGAGACATGCCAAGGAGAACATACAGTGTACACTTCTAACATATCTGTAACGGATTAGCTGATACTCATGTACAAAAAGCATCAAAGTTGCTGATTTTCTTCATGTCTGTGAATTTATTGGAGAGGCTGTGTCTGCATTGAACTTGGTTCGCATAAAAAAAATATATGAATGTTTATTTAAGGAAGCTAACCACCCGGAAAGCTAGGAGATTTTTAATTGTTAACATTAGCTTTAAGTGCCACTCTTAATTTCTTTTTTTTTCAATCAAGTATTCTGTTTTCCAAAAAATACTTTCTTCTATTTTTGCATCAATGACCAATAAAAACAATGGGGAATAGTTGGAAAATTGGCAACATGCAGAACATGGTACATGCGTGCTAGAGACAAGTGGGCACAGGGGAAATCTCTCCTTCCTGTATTTTCCTTAAGTTCCAGTTAGGAGGTATCATTCACAATAAATTATAAAAGAATTTACAGACGGTTGCACAACCAGCTGTATTTTTTTGTGAATATGCAGTTAGGCAGTGAGCCTGTCTCTCAAAGATTTGTGTGTAATGGAGGTAGGAAGCAAGAGGAAAAAGATACACCAACTTTAAATTATTTGTTGTATTTGTTTTAAATTTTTATATGTTAAACACATTTGAAACATGGAGGTCCTTCAGATATTGTGTTTTACTTCAACAGCTGTAAAGGGAGCCGTACAGTTAATGTGACTCACTTGACATTAGCTGTAAGTAGTTGTGTTGTTGTAATTTAATAATTTATCGTCATCTGTTCATGGCCTTAGATTTGTTTGGTCGTAGCTTGCATTAAACAGTAGGAATATCTGAAAAAGAGAACTATAGGAAAGGATAGAGAGGGAGATAAAAAGGAAGGGAAACCAAAACTGAACAGAGCTTTACAGAGATTCAGAATTTAACACCAGAAAGTCATGAGCTTTTCATTTTAAATTGGTTGCAATCCTTCACTGATAAATGCATTCACCCATCCTGGGAGAAGGATGTCTGTTCCTTTATTCTGTCTTAAGTAATTGCACCAGGTAGATGCCATTGTTTCTGGTTTTCATATTCGTCTTTCAGTTTTTATTT